TTGTATGTCATAAGAGATTATACTCATTAAAAATATTACTTATAACTGATGTTTATTCTAGAATACTTGAAGTTATATTTTATTTAATTTAACTAACTGCTTTCTTTTTTAACCAGGAAATCGCTAATTGTTATTTATGTTGATATATTTCTTAAATAAACATTTAGGGTTGTTATAGATTTATAATTTTCTGGCAGAAATATACAGCTTTATGACTTCACCAGAGAGACAATCGAAAGGGAAAAATGAGTTATAACTATTTTTTTTAAAAATTCAAATGCATTTTTCAAAATTGTTCCGAGTTTAGGGCGCCGTTTTTTGTTTCGCCCTGGGCGTGGAAACGGTTTCCACTGGCAAAGCGTGGGTGTATAAATTTTACAGGTTTTATGAGCCATGCGATCGCAGAGACATCTCGTGAACTGTATTTGAACTACAACAACAGAAAAGTTAGAGTTTTCGTTAAAAATGGTTTCTTTTGAAATTTAACTTGTTGTTTTAAATTAAACCAAAATGGCATTAAGTAAAAGAAACTAAAAAATGATTTGCAAATAAAACTAAGAAACTACTGTTGTGCGTCAACTAATAAAATATGAGCTAATCATCTTTCACTCGTTAAACGCAGCTTAATGATTAAATTATAGAACAGCTTAAAAAACTACAGAGTTAAATTAAAACGAATATTGAATTCAGCTAACAAAATTAAATAACGACGCTAACTATAAAAGTCTATAAAAATAATATCGATAAAAATACAATATACACTATCTATAAAAATACAATTTTATAAGATTGATTGAGTGATGATTCAATTGCAAAACATTTTTAAATACGCTCTTAACTTTATAATTAGTTACCTCTGTAGGAAACAAAAGAATACAAATTAAAAATAAAGAATCGATTTGAATCAATTATGATTGTTTTTAAATTCCCTTATTGTTAAATGCTTCTTGGGCGGTTTAAACAACATAAATAAATATACTAATAAATAATACTATACAGTGTTCAAAATAATGCCCATTTGTGTTTTTTAGTAATTAAATTATAGTTTTAAAATGCACAATATGAACAAAAAATTGAATCTGGATCCAAAAAATTTCCTCTTTATCTTTTAGATATATATTTTAGGTAACCTCTTTTAGATATTAGATTTCTAACTTGAAAATAAATTAAAGAAGTATCACTATTATTATTTTATTAGATGTAAGAAATTTTTATTGAATCATTTATTTTCACTGACTACGAATCAGCAAAGCTCTTTTCTAACATCTGTGTTGAAATGCTAGAATATATTTTTAAGGTTTTATAATGCTAATTTTACTTTTAATACAGGAGAAGTTAAAAGATTGATCTGTATTTGAATTGTAACAGATTATGGTATTTTTGCATTGAATTTAGATCAACTTTTTCTGACAATTTAATTTTTCTGCCGCTACTTTATAGTTGATATCATTGTCAAAATAACTGTTCAAAATATACTTAACGATAAACAATATTTATTTGACAAAATTTTAAAGGTTGTAACAGGATTTATTGTGAAATCAAGTACCGAATCGTGCTTTCTATGAAAATTTTTTACTATACGGAGAATATTTAGTTCGGTTATATTAAAATAATAATTTTGTGAGCAACTTATTACTTTTATTTTTGAAATTGCTTTATTTAACAGAATGGTTAGTGACTGAACATTAGTGACTGAACAAACTACAAAGTGTTCGTTTTCAAACACGATGTAAAAAAAATACTCGCATTAGGGGTCACAAATTAATATTTAAACACGGATTTGGACGCAAACCTGCTTGATTGTCGGAGGAAGTATACATGAAATGTACCATAATTTATTTTTAAAAAATTTCCTTTTTTCACATTAGTTAATAAAGCTGGTTCTTTTTTATTAATCACAGAATTGCATGAAAACTGCTTGAGTATAATTAAGTTGCAGTTAGTTGCATAACAACTTTAGAAGTAAGGTGAAAAAATTTGCTTTAAGAAGCAAAACATAATAATAAATTAAAAGCAATAAGAAATTAAAAGTAATAATAAATAACAGTAATTAATTAAAATGAAGAATTAAATCATTTTTTATAAGTTCAGTTTCGTGGCAATTCAACGGCAAGCATGGATTAAAACATTTTTTTTTCCTTCTAAATTTTCAATAGTTTATAATTTATCATTTTTTTGTATAAAAAGATACTAATACGTATGAATGTATATAAATTAAAATATTTTAATTCAGATTATAATATATTATCATTACTTCATTTAAAATTACGTGCTACTCCTGTTTTATAATTAGAACGCTTAGAACTACAATCGGAAGAAAAATTGCGTTCATGAGTGTAAAATTTCTTAAATATTTCTCGTATGTAAACTAATCACTCACAAGTCAGGCTTAAAACAACAACGGTATGTATTAACAAAATAATTTTTCTTAAGAGAAGTTACGGAATTATTTTTTCCCACAAGAAGAGAGCAGTTAGAGAAAATGGATTTTTACGGTTAGTCCACAGTAAATTAACTTTTGCTTTGCATACAGTCATTTCCTTTTGTAAACAATACTGAAAGCGTTGTTCAGTAACGAGGTTCGGTTCAACAAAACAGCACTAAAAACACGAAGACAATTTCCTCATAAGCATGACTCACCTCGGTATTTCAGCAATACAGCCAATTGTTGAGTGCATTGGAAAAAATTACCGGTGGACAAGACAGCAGAGGGAAAATTTTATTAGGAAATTAAATGGCGTCATTTCCCGCAATGATTTTGCAAAAGATGAAGAATTTCTCCGTATACAAAACTCGCAGCAGCAATTGACCGATTCTGATTTTTTTAAAACAATAGCGACAAAGGAATTTGAGCTGATAGGGGAAAGAACCGACAAATGGATATGCTATATTTATCTATTTTTGTTTCTTGTTGACTTATTTATTGTCCATTTTATTAAGCTCTTATGGATCCATTGCGGGAAAAAGCGGCACTCTTGGCGAAAATATCGTTTTAATATATATATTTGCTTAAACTTATTTGGGACGCCTATAGAAATTACACAAAAAGTATTTTAAAGCTTAAAATGGTTAATTTACTGTCCGAAAATTTATCATAGAAGATATTAGTGAGAGAAGGTTCTTCTAAGCGTTATTTTTTGTAATTTTTAGAATGCATATAGAAACTGCAAAAAGCTTTTTACAAAACACTTTTTCCTATTTAAAACTACCTTATTCAATGATTTGACAGGGAAAAAAATAATTCTATTCGTGTCTTAACATGAACATTGTTTTAAACCCACAATGTTGACTTTTTCAGAATGTCACTTAATTCCTTCTTTCACTAAGCTATTCAATTATAATTGTTTCAAAATATTTTTATTTTACATTACGTAAGTAGCTTAATGAAATTTATGTTCATTGGTTCAGTAGTTTTTAAAAAGATTTATGGTTACTGCTCGATGAAATTTTTTTAAAATATTTCTTGTTTAACTTTTCATTTATGCTTACGGAGTCATACTATTTAGACACAAGCACTAATTAGTTACACTTGCACTTTAAGTTAGTTACACTTGCACAAGCTGAAATGCGCACAAAAATGTAGACCTCCTGCAACTTTTTTTTAATTAGTTATTTTATTTTTATTTATTTTTTGAGATATAAAAATAAAATAAAATAAGAAAAATTGAAAAATATTTAATTTTCTTGTACTCGGCTAACCGAAGAGTACCGAAGTTGTATTGTGAGAAAGTTTTAAATTTATATTTTATTTAAGAAATTCTTCTGATCCATAATTTCTATGAGAAATGTCTTGATTTTGCACAACATACGATTTATTGAACTAGAATAAATTTCTACTCTAAAAGTACCTTGATATGCGTTATTTCGTAATTTTTTTTAAAAAGTTGTATAAAAGAATGCAGTTTTGGAAGAAAAAAAAGAAAAAAAAAGAAAACGATTTTTTTCCATTACTCATTTTTTTTTTTTTTTTTTTTTTTTTTTTTTTTTTAATAAGTGGAGTTTTAACAGGAAAATGTGTTTTGTGAAAAGCTTCCCACACTGTAAAAAATTCCTTTGTAAATGTTAGTAATTGTAATGCCAGATGTAATACATTTGTAAATGTTAGATATTTGAAGATATACAGTACTTTTTAACTTCAAATCTATTTTTACAGGAAAATGTTACGGAACAAAAAACTATGATTTACCGTAATTTTTATAGTAATAATTACCGTAAAATCACTGACCCACTTTAACTAAATAAATGCTACTGTAAAATTACGGTATAATATTTTATGGTAAAAATCGATTTTACGGATGATGTACCCGAAGTGTCGGTACTTAATACCTTCATTTGATTCGGAATTTCTTACAGTGCACTTTTGTTATAATTTCCTAATTCTCAAAAATATCACTTGAACCTTTTACCGAAAAGAAGGTTTTTTTAGAAGCAAAATTTTGATATCTAAGAAGTGAAGAGAGTTAAATGAAATTTCAAACGCTCTTGTGTCAGAGCTTCTTCTTTTTCGGCTTATAATTACAAATATTGCGTAAGGACACACACATAAAAAAAGCAAAATTTATTTTCAATAGTAAACATACTGTTTTCCCACAACACAACAATTTTCTACTTTTCATAATACGGAACCTACCCTCACTTTAATCACCATGGAGCCCGGGGTGACAAGGGTGCTAGTCGGCGGGTTGCTCTCATCACCCGGGCAAGATAGTGGGTAAAACATTTACTATCAGGGGGATGTGATGCCTGGGTCCGTGAGAATTACCCCCAGGGTTAAAGAGATTAACCGTTATCTACTGTTTTAAGTTAATTCGGCTATTTTTTTTTTATACCATGACCACAGGCTATTAGTCGACCCTGCAAATTGATAGATATTCCCTACCGTTATTTGATTGGTCTTCGATTTCTGGGAGCCCTATAAGATAAGCTTAATGTTTTCGTTCCTAAGTGATAAACAGTTTTAATAATTACTTTTTATTTATTTATTTATATTTTTTTCTTAGGCTTTGAGTGGTTTTTTGATGATGATGACACAAAATGGAAAGCTTTTATACATCTCAGATAATGCAGCAGAATATCTCGGTCATTCTATGGTAAGTAAAGAATTAGTAATTATTAGTTAGTTACTAATTATTAATTAGTTATTAATTTGAAAAATCAATTGTAGTTGAATGGCAAATAATAACAGTCATGATGATTGACAAATGTAAGACTTCATATAGATTGAAGCCTGATATTTCATTTGCGATTGACAAAGTAATTTAAAAATTCAGAAAATCAATTAATCAAAAAAATTAAAACAGATGATACTTTACTAGTTTTAGTATTATTTAAAAATTTGTATAAATTGAATTGAGTAATGTAATGTTGCAGCTTATAATAAGTTTTAATAAAATAAATAAATTTAGTGAAATTTTTTTTCAAATAAATAAGAAACACCTTTGTTAATTTTCTTATTTAATTACCAAAATTAAATATCGCAATTAACAAACTTGTTGACAATGATAAACATTTATTTATGCTATATGGGAAATAATGATAAATCTGTGAGAAAATTTTTTAACTTTATTAAAAATCACATAAAATAGGAGTAACATTTTTCTTTTATACTTTTTATGAAGTAAAATTTCGAAATGAAATAAATTAGCAAAAATAATTTTTCAAATACTTTGTTAAAACTTAAAGTAAAATACCAAAACTACATAAAAAGAGAAAGAGGAATTTCAAACAATCCTTCTTAAAAATCAATTAAAAAAACTATAGATATTTGAGTGTCACTTTTTTTTTACAAAAGAAAAATGCAAAATAAATACATTAAGCATAGCTACTTTTCCTCCCCCCCCCCTTTTTTTTTTTTACATATTATAACATTTCCATGAAGTGAAATTAAAAAATTTGAAATTTTTATCAGAGGAAATTTTTGCTCTAAAAATCCCCTTTTTTTCATTAAAGGAAAAACATGCATTTTCTTCTAGAAATTATTTGTTAAACAAATATTCATAAAATCTCACTTTTTCGATTATTTTATTTTGTTTTAGTTTTTAGCATACATAATAACGATTGCTAGATTTTTATCAGTAGAATTACTTTCATAAAATGGAAAAGTACTATTATTAGATTTTGAAATTAAACCTTATAAACATCTTAATATTTTTAATAAAACTTCAATAAAAAATTTAGCATGAAAATTATTTATTTTAGGCATATTTTATTTTATTCTTTTCTTTATTTTTAGCAAATTATAGACATTTTTTAATTATCTGGTTAATTAATCCTAAATATGCTTTATTTTGATAATTCCTAAGGATAGTTTTATCTTGATAATTCCTTTGAAGTGTTTTATTTAGAAAATTCCTGTAAATTTTTTTCCTGTAAATTGTTTTATTGAAACAATTAATTTAAATTGCATTATTTTAATAATTTAACCGTGAAGTATTAATTTGAAATATATTTTTTCTAGCACAGGATAATCGTTTAAAATTTTTTTAACAAAATTTTAAAAACACACATTATATGGAAGTTACCTATCGTTTTACTTTTTTTAAGTAGTAATTTTTATCAATTGTTAATAACTCGTAATGTTTGATTCTTTTTTAATTTTTTTTTCCTTTCTTTAAATTGTTTTGATTTATTAATTTGCTTAAATTGTATTATTTCGTAGATTTGTTTAAATTTTTATATTTTAATGATTAGTCTAAATTATTTATTTTAATGATTTGTTTAAACTGTTTTGTTTTAATAATTTAACCACGAAATATAAATTTGAAAAATATCCCTGCTAACACAGGATAATCATTTAGCATGTTTTAATTTAATGAAATTTTCATAACACGCATTATATGGAAACAACTCATTTTTTTCCTCTTTTCTTCGGTTTCATTTTTATAAACTATAAAAAATTCATAGTGTTTGCTTAAATTATTCTGCTATGATATGATTCTTCGAAATGCTTTGGTTTAATAATTCCTTTAAATAGTTTTGTTTCAATATCTTTTTTTCTCTTCCAGGAGGATTTGCTAATCCACGGAGACAGCGTGTATGATATAATCGAAAAGCAAGATCACCAAGCTATTCAAACAGAATTGATGCGTAGTTCTAATCCTTTAAACATGATGAACGATACTCGTATGTTCCTATGCAGGATGAATGTGTCCCGCAACGCTCGCAGACAAATGCGCTTCGGAGATCAAAAGGTTAGTCTTAAGATAAGGCATCATTAAAGAGATTTCCTCCTTTTCTATGTGTCTAACTGAAACTGTGCAAACTGGAACACTTTCAGAATATTGATTTTTATAAATAACACATATGCTTCTCACACATACAAGGGTTTTGATATATATATATATATATATAATGTTAAGCTAACTGATAAAATTACTTACTCTTTCATTTATAGGAGCTAAAGAAAAACATATGCAAATAAATTTGTATAACCTATCACGTTTTTTTAATGAGAAAGACTCATTGATGCTTGAAATTACAGCAGTTTACTTTGCTGATACAATCTTTAATTTCAGGAAAAAAACGGAGTACTTTTNCTTAATGTTAGAGTATAAAGCTTTGTGTTAATATTTTCTGTAAAACATTATCAAAATTAGCTGTTAGACTTTAAGTTTATTAAAATATTATAATATAAAAAGTAATACCCCAAGTACATGCATTGTAAAAAAATTCGGTTCCAGTTACGGTATAAAGTACCGGCACTTTGGGGCATCATCACTAAGATCCATTTTTACTATAAATTATTACACCTTAATTTTAACAGTAATATTTTATTATAAGAGTGATTCAGTGATTTAACGGTAGTTATTAGTATAAAAATTACGGTATATCAGATATTTTGTTCCATAACATGTTGGGGTAAAAATAGATTTTACGATAGAAAGTACCAGCAGCTTGAGTGACGGTACTTTGTACCGTAATTTGATTCGGAATTTTTTGAAGTGTTCTTTTACTCAAAAATTTAAGTTTAAAATAGTAAATAATAATTCATTGATTTTGAAAGTGTTTGATTTGTCGTGAATTAATTTTGAATATTTTTTTAATCAAATATAACATGAGCCATGGTTTATTCACTGTTTTTGTTTGAAAGCAAAAAAGGTTTTGCCTATAAAAAGTAATTAAGATTCTAAGCATTTAAGAAATCTTTGCAGTTAAATCCTAGATTGTTGAAACGTTCGATACAAGTTGAACTACAATAATTATACTTATCTTATTAATTGCAAGCGCATTCGTAGATGTTATTATGGAGCAACCGTGTATTTAGATTTTTAATATTGTCGTGCTAATAATGTAATCAAAATTATTAATAGTACATGTAGCACCGTGCAATAAATTCGTGATATATTACGATTAAAGGTACCCAGATTGTGATGCAATTGGAAACTTATTGTTCTACAATGCATTGATTGCTTAGTATCTTATTAAAATTGCAGAAAATTCAGAAAACGTTATGATCCCAAGTACCTATATTGTGATGCAACCGTGAAATGTTTTCCTAACAGTGTAGGATTCAATACCCTATGAAAATCTCGGTGAATTTGAAAAATATTCTAATTCAAAATACCCCAAGAAGCATTGAAATGTTTATAAATTTATTTCTTACGGAGCGAGGCATTGTGTGAGAAAATGTTCTTATAGGAAAATATTCGAAGCTTAATTCGGATTTTTACTTTCTTCTATTTATCAATTTCAATCAGAGAAAAAAAGAATAAAATTAAGGAGAAAGCAATCATAAGACATTAAGCATTCCATCAAAAGGCCATCTCCGCAATCCATATCGCACCATCGACACCCAACGCAACGCGGAAGATGTAGTGAGAGGTCAAAAGATGTGGCGTGGGAGTGCCCTGCAGACATGACCCCCTGCAACAGATCCTTGTATTTATTGATTTACGAGCCCATCTTCTAACCTTATGACCTTTTGCAAGGTTCAGGGGGTGGGGCACTTTGCCAAATTTTGATATCAAAACATTCCCCCTTTCTGTGGTTTTCCCCTTACCTGATTTTAGACCCTCCGGTAAGTAATCACTAAACTCACGGATCATTAGAATTTTGTATGAAAACAGCTCAAAGAAATAAGTTTAGAACCACTACTTCTTTTCTCCTCTGATAATTCGAAAATATAGTCGCATGGGAAACATTTAATAAAGATTATTAAGTTGTTATTTCATTCTTCATGTGTATGTTCTGACTATTTTTATTTATTTATTTTTGGAGGAACACTTTGCGGAAAAGATTTCAAAAATATTAAAAATAAATAAAGTAAAAGTTTCTTGAACACGTTAATTTTTTTAATTAATATGTTAAATTATATTTTGTTGTGCTAAAGGAGAATTTAAAATATAAAAATTAAAAGACTCTTAATTGAGTGTAATTTAAAGCGCTAAAGAGTGCATTTTTAAGCATAAATATTAAAATAATGGCTATTTTAAAAATTAATACTTGGATGATGATTATAATTGTTTCATTAATGTGAATAAACTCTAGCACATCATTTCAAAAAAATCAAAAACTATATAGATCCATACTACCGTGCTAAATTATAAGACCAAAACACTATAAGAAATAATAACAATTAAAAACTTCAAATTTTACGTTTAGTAGTTAGGTGTGTTTCGTAATTTTGAGTATGCTAATTTTCATCATGAGTTAATTAGATTGGTTTCCTTAAAATTGTGAAATAAATAAATAAATAAAATAAAAATTAAAATGTATTTAAAATGTATAAGTTACAGTAGCTTTGCACATTCGCTTGAATTTTATTTATATATTTTCCGTCTTGATACGTCAAAGGTACGATAGAACTAAATGGATGTTGGTTGAAAATTCTCTTTGAAATTTAATTTTTAATTGAAATGGTTTTTGTACTTATATCCAAAATCATGCATTGTTACATTTTACGTTAGGGCTTACAAATTTTCTGCAACCTTAATAGTGTTAGTTGAACCCCGAGTTTGTGAAATTGCTAGTTGGTACCGAAATGTTGTGTAATCCAATGCAACAAGGAGAATTAATTGACAAGATAATATGGTTCAACGTGGCATCCTTTTATGGTTGCAGTAAATTCACCTGATATCACATATTAAGGTGCACTGATATTTTTAGCATTGTAAAAAAATGAAACTAAGAATCAAGCAGCGCATAAAAAGCAACAACAAGTGCAAACATTGTGCGGTGAATACCGACAATCACATAAGTGCTTTGCTGAATGTCCGATATATTTCTTAGATATCTAATATTTCTTACTTAATGGATTGATAAAAAAATCATTGCGTTTTTTTTCTTCTAAATTTTACAAAGTCATATATTTATATAAATGTTGAATGTTGATCAATGATGCATAGTCCCTTTTGTTCGATTACCTTTTGCCATCGCTCGGTGAGGTTCATGATTCTTCGTTCGTAAAAGGACCCGCATTATATGTAAAAAACTGAACGAGGTTTACAGCCTCATCTGAATTTAACGTAATTCCCAGCCGGAGGTTTTAAAGAGAACGAAACAACTGAATATTTGACGCTGCAAGGTCAGGAGAGTATGAATGGAGGGGCAACACATCCTATCCCATCTCCAATAACTTTTGACGGTTCGCTAAATATATGTAAAGTCTCACGTTGTCATGATGAAGCACTACTTTTTCGCGATTGATGAGTTCTGGACGTTTCTGAATGACAAATTCGTTCAAACTGTCCGATAGCCTACAGTACACATCTGAATTAATTGCTATGTTCCTTGATTGGAGCTCAAAAAACACAACATCCTTGAAATCCCACCATACTGGCAGCATAACCTTCCTCTGATAAAGTTCTGGTTTTGAAAACGTTGATGGCGAATCTTCGCATCGTATCCAGAATCATTTTCGCATCACATTGTTGTAAACAACCCACTTCTCATCAGTTATCATTCGTTCCAAAAACGAGACGTTTACTTCACGTTTTATGAACATATCGCCAATGTTTATTCGTGCCGTCAAATGAACTTCTTTATGTTCATGGGGAACCTTAATTTCGAACTTGCTTACATATCCCACTTTCTTTAGATGAGCGTGATCACTAATTTGACTGACTTTCATTGTCCTTGCAGTCTCTTGCATCGTGTAACGTGGATTTAACTGGATCAATGTCTTTATTTTGTCATCATCAATTCGGGTAGGACTTCTTGATCGAGGGGCATCCTTTAAATCAACCAGCTCAGAATTTCTTGAACCAGTTTTGGCATTGACGTTCTTGTAGAGCATCATTACTGTAATAAATTTTACGCAACTTTTCACAACAACCCTTTACAAAAGTAAGATTTTAAAATAGGGCGAAAATGAACACTTTGATCTTCCATTTTTAACGTATTGTCAAATCTCCAAAACTCAATGAAATGACCCCAAATTGTTCTTTACAGTGAAGCTTAAACTGTCAGATGTCAAAGAAGTAAAAACTACTATTGCGAGTGCTCTAAGTATTACTGAAACTACCCAACTGTAAAAAAATAGAAAATAATTTTTAAAAAAAAAAGACTTTTTACTCAGCCTAATACACCAGAAAATTTCAACAATCAGCAGATGGTAAATGTTGAAAAAATTCTTTTCTTAATTATCACAATTTCCAACTCATTTAGTAAATGTCGTCATGCAGCATGTACTCATGGTAAGATTGTAAGTAAAAAATAACGACGATTACAATTTTTAGATTTCAGTTACAATCCATGACTATGTGATTGCCAACATTTACGATAACATATATACAGACATATTCCCCCCCCCCAAGAATTTATAAATTGTCTCTAATTTATGTAAAGCTATTCTTTCGGTATAATAAAATTGAAGCTGTAAAAAATCCCAATTCAAATTAAACCAGCATTCAGATGTGGAAAATCGCGCAGAGAGAAAGAAAAAAAAAAAACGAACCGATTTCTTTTAGAGAAAGGCGATCGAACAATAGGATATTTATGAAAACAAAAAGATGTTCATAGCAAAGAAGGGTAATCGAAAGCAGGTAGTAATATCCTGAATGTAATGAAATAATAATACCCAACATTTTGCACAACGGAATTAAAAACCCATTCGGGGTCTTCTAATCCGCCGTTCTGCTCCAATATAACTGCTCTCGGTAAATCGTTGATCTCATTAGCGGGCACTCTCAAAAGAAACAAAAGGTTATATGGAAAGGAAAACCAAACAGAAATCAGACCTTGCGTGCTTACGAGTCACCCGTCATCGGGGAAGTGCCCTTTTCTTTAGAAACTTTTACATCGGGGGAACATCATTACTGGGACCTTTGTGATGTGTGCCGACAATTTAATACTGCTCTCCCATTCGATTCTTTTTACAAAGGGAGATACGTTTTATTTATTTCAACTTTTTTGAGTTTTATTTATCTTTCTCAGTTGTTTGCCGGAGTGAGACAGCAAATGGTTAATTTGACAATTAGTTTGAATGAACAATTTAATATTGAATGAAAGATCAATCAAACGTTTTCAATGAGGGACTCATCATCTATAAAGAGATATTCGTCTAGTTTATTTCATCTTTATTTGCTTTATTGACTTGTTAATAGTGATTGCTGTTTCGAATTAATAACAATTCAACAATTAGTTTAAGTTGTCAGTAAATATGGCGTATAAAATAAAAACTCCTGTAACTGTCAATTATTAAGTGGTTGTCAATGGTTAATTTATCAATTAGTTTGAAGGAACAATTTAATATTGAAGGAAAAACTAACTAAAAGCTAGTCCTTTTCAACAAAAGACTAATCAACACTGAGTGAAAAAAAACATGGCCAAAACTACTAGATATGTAATATAGCTATATAGGATGGTAAAAATTTACAGTGTTTCTAGCTCCATCGGATTACCAAAGAGCTCAGTAAAAATTACCGTAGTACCTCGGTTGAGTTTGCTAAAGTTAACAATAAAATATGGTTATGTGGCATATGGTAATTTCATCGTGATACTATAGAGCATGGCATAAAAACTGTTTATATGGTTAAATTTACTTTTCTGTATTGTATCTCTTACTAAATGTGAGGTAAGAAAAACTATACTGAGGGAAAAAAAAAAAAAAAAAAAAAAAAAAATTTGAGTGGTTTAAATACCGTATATTTTGGTTTTATTAACCGGAATTATTAATTTTTTTTCACCAGAAATGTCATTACAGTATGGTAATTTTATTAGAATTTTTTTTCCGTGTACAATGTAATATTCATTTTATTTACTTCCAAACTGTAAGTTTAATAATGTGCTTACATTCATTAAAAAAAGTACTAGTTACTTCATCTTTTAGTCGTCTTATACATTTGCTGAATAAAATAAGATGGAAACAGTTTAATTTAATTTAAGAATGAATTTGAAAAAAAAATCAAAATTGCGATCTTATATCTTGAAAGGTTTATCCTCAAAAGGAGAGTAATTTCATTAAATCGCAAAGTTGTTTTATTCACCTGTTGATAAAAAATGACATGACAATAACTGATTTATTTTTTCATGTTAATAAAGTAGCAAAAAGACGCAACTTATAATACAGTGAAAAACTTAATATCCATTATTTACTATCCGATTTTATTTTATTTTTAACTTGAATGAATTTTTATTGTAAATTTTAGCTTTTTTAATTAAAGTTACTTTATTTCGACGTTACTTTATTTGTTTCTTTATTTACTTTTTTTTAAAGATAGTGATGTTTACTTCATTAGTAACTCATTTCTGTCTCCTTATTCGAAATCTTACCAATTTATCGTTTATTGAAATCATTAAATATCAAATACAAGATTTGTAATAAAATCTTCATTCATTTTTCAGGTAGTGCTTATTGAGGGTCATTTTGTGAGTTTTTTACCTCTATGCAGCCGGAATGAACCCGTTTTCCTTGCAACATGTACCCCTGTAGCCATGCCAGAAACCCGTGAATGCGTTGTTCAAGGAAGTACAACTGTTTTTACAACAATACATTCTATGGATATGAAGTTCCTACACATAGACAGAATGTAAGTATAGCTTTAAGCATTGATAAAATTCTACCAACAACTAACATACTTTTTCTACTATGTAACAAACTTTGTAAACTTATACTAAAGGTAATAAGGAATGCTTATGAATAAATAAATTTATAACATTCTGAAAAATGTACAAAGCGATTGCTGAGTTCACAGAACAGGATAGTCTTCACTCTTTTAAAATTATCGTAGACATCGAGATAAGAGTTTTAACCATATGTTTGTTTACTTCACGAGTTCTTGATTAGCTTTTCATTTGCAAGTGAAATCGAAGCAATTTGCTTTAAGTGAGATTATTACATTCCTATCTATACGAATAATAAGCATCCTTTTCCAAACACTTTAACTATTGCCCTCAGGAGTAGTTATACCGCAATACAGTTCGGAATGATAGGACATAATGGTTGATGTAAAATTCTTCCAGAGGTGGAATCTCTGTCACGATTTATATTCCTTTATGTCTGTTTATTTTTTCAAAAGTCGTCTGCTTTCTGAACCTGGTTTATTGAGGTACAGAAGTAAGCTTTCGGTAGCTGTAGCTTCGTGACCAGAAGCATTGATGACGAATTGAAGCAGATTACGCAAAGTCTAACTGAAACAGAAGTGACCACCTGCTCCACCTGCATTGATGACCATAGGTCAAGGAGGCTACAGGCGTTCCCACGGTTTATTTGAATTGACATTGATCAATGCACCTGCTTCCGAAAAATTAACTATTTCTTCGAGAAAAATTACTGATTTATCTCTTGACCATTGATTTTAACATTGTTTATTGGTAACTCGGCAACCTTGACAAGAAGATGATACTTGCAAACGTCTTAATTGAAGCAGCGTTGAAAAGGGAGGTTTTAATTTATAGTTTTCGATGACTGGTTGATTCATGTTTTGCTGACGTCTGTTGCTTAGTGATTGGTGATCTTTTTATTAGCATAATGTTGTCCAACAATCAAATATCATTAAGTTTTAGAGGGGAAAAAACACTAATGTTAGTGTTAAAAAAAAAAAAAAACTTTTTTGCTACTGGGAATTTTTGAAATCCGAATTCAAAAACGTTAACTCATTTTCCTGTTCGTTGGTTAATCAAATCTGCAAAATTAAGCAATTAAAGTTAATTTTTAATTTATCACTTAAGTTCAAATTTAAACATTGTCAGAATTTTCTGATTGTTAGTTATAAATATTTTTTCAAAAGGAATTAGAGAATAAATTTCAAATTGTTAGTAAGAGATATATTTTTTTTCTAATTTTCAATAAATTTCAAAGCTGTTTTTTCCTAGAAAAATGTAATGCATATCATAATGAAATGTGCATTTATTTATAAAGGCTTAAAATTAAAAAAAAAACATTTTTAATAAACTAATAAAAACTTTTAGCCACCATATAGATATTTTAGAAATATTTCAAATAAAATCATTTAAAATTTTCGTTTATGTTTTATTTCTATCGATACCTTTTTTTTCTGCATGAAAACAAACAATGAACAACATTGCAAAAACCTAGTTTAAATAAATCATTTTAGTTAAAAATTAATGCTTTTTAAAATTGAGTGTTTTTTTAAATGCTATATTTAAGTTTAACTAAGCAAGCTAGATATATAAATATGAATGGATGCAAAATATAACTTGCTTAATGTTTCGAAAAAAATATAATCTAAGAGATGGTGTCATTTCTATTATTTTTATTTATTGTTATTTATTTATTATCATTATTTTTATTTATTATTATTTCATATTTTTTATTATTTCATATTTCTTATTCATTTATTATTATTAAATCGTTATTTGCAACCGTCCACTTTTTTTTCTTTAACAGAGGAGAATTTCATCTGGGTTATACAAAAGCCAGTCTTCAAGGAATCTCATGGTATGAGCTTGTTCATTGGGATCACTTAAGAGAAGCACAGTCAAAACATAGACTAAGTAAGTTATATATACATTTTTTTTAAATAAAATTATGTGTTTCACTATTCTCAAAAGCTTTTTTAAGGAGTTTGCTTTAATTAAATTTGACTGTAGTATGGTATGTTTAAGAATTTGTAAAACACCAGATTACTTTCTTTCTTAAGAAAGTCTGGAAAAAAATTCTGAAGTATGGTAAATTAATTTCTATCTTCCAATTTCGTTCCATTGTTGAAAGTTGAAAAACTTATTGGATAAAAAAATTTCTAAACTTTAAATGTTGTTTAAATAGAATTTGAATTTAATTTTTTTTTTTTTAATTAGCATATAAGTTTTATGCATTTACTTATAGTTAAACATGGTCTGTGATCTTGTCTACACAATTTAGTAAATTACCTGAAAAATACTTTAAATAAAGTATATATTTATAATTAAATAAAATATCTATACATGAAAAAATATAAAAATAATAATTTAACTTCTGTTTCATTTTCAACTCTGCATTTCATGCATAGAGTTTCCTTAATGAATTTCAAAGAAAGTTTTGCGAATGCCTTCCCATATTTGGCAAGAGTATTTCAACTTAATCAAAAAAGTTTCTCCCCTTGGACGTGCTCTCGTCTGGTATTAGTCATGGTATTAGTACGTAATGTATTCTTTATACTTAGACTCTCGGAATATGCTGGCCTTCTTACTCATTCTGTCAGTTCTGAAGGGGTTAAATTTGGTTATTAGAAGGAACTGAGAATATGGGAACTTCTTATAAATATTAATGATGAAATAAAGACTAAATAATAAAAGTTATACGAAATGCAGAAGGTAGGGATAGTTGTGATGTCTAATTAAAATATTCTTACTTTTAAATTGATTTGGAGACAAAAATCATCAAATTATAGTCTGAATTTAATGTTATGTTTTTTATTTTGATATTTAACAATATAGTAATATTAATTAAATCTGAATATTTCCCTTGCATCTGACGAAAAAGGAGAGTTCGATTTAATAATAATTTATATATATATATANTATATATATATATTTTGTTGTAATAATATTTAAAAATAGTATAAGTTTGATCAAAATGTATAAAAAAAGGACTCTTCTTCCTTTTCAGTCACGCAATCTGAGCAGGAGCGATCATGCATCATTCTTCTTCGACTTCAAAACAGTTCAGGTCGTTGGTTGTGGGTGCATGTCGTTTTACAAATCAAAGACAGCACCGATACTACGCAACAGTCCGTCATAGTCTGCACTAACCAAATTCTCAGGTAAGAATAGTATGAGTAGGTACTTCCATATTTTTTCTGAACAATCAAAGACATTATTTACAGCCATTGTCATAAAAGAAAATTATTCATCCTTTACGACTTCCCGACAGCATTTCCGACTGTTAAAGAATATGTGAATTGTGAGCGAAACATACACGACAACTTAATGCATGCTATAAATTACATTTTAGTACTTGTGCTTTTAATTGTGTTGAGCATTAATTACTACATGATTGTGGCTGAAAAACTTTATCCATTTCTTTGAAATAAATGAGTGGGTTTTAGCCACGTAATATTTTATTTTACTCATTTTTGATTATGAGAAACATTATCATTTTTTATACCCCTTTAAAAATATTGCTAAACGCATCAATGGAATCAAAAATGAATCAAGTTAGTGTATTTAAAACTCAGCATTACCAAACATATATAAACATTCGAAATAAATTCGATAATAATAAATTGGATAAAATAAATTGGATGAGTATGTGGAATATAATAAACAATCCTGAAAATAAGGAAGCTGCTTGTTTAATAATTTTGGAAAACTGGCGAGATAACTGAAACAAATTCATTTTTGAATTTATTTTTTTTAATAACGAATTATGTGAAATATTTTGAGAAAAAAGGTGAATCTTTTAATTTTTATTTAAAAAATATTTTATTCTAAGCAAAAATAATTCTTTAAGTAACTGATATTTCTAAACATAGTTATTAATTATATACACTTGAAAAAGTAAGACTGATTATTTGTTGTTTTCATACGATTATTTATTTTAAATATAAAATAAAAAGCAATTCACGTTCAACCTTTAACTATTATTGTAAAGTTTCACAACTTTTAAAAGTTTCAACCCTAGGACCAATGTCATTAAGATATGAATGAACTTTGTTTTCAGTACTTTCTTGCCCACATAACTCATCAATTATGAAACTATATGTTAAAATCTTAAATTTTAATCTAAAGCTCTGATAAACAACCCCATTGTAGTTGTGCGAAGTACTATAATTTATTTTTATGGTCTTTTTTTTCATCCTTATTTATTATACTCCTTATTTAAAAAAAAAATTTCTTCATGTATGTCTATTCACATGATATATACAGCATATATCCCATAATCAATGTTTTCCATTTTCTTTAAAGATAAAAAAAACTGAATTTTTATAAAATTTTATTTACAGTGATAAGGAAGCTGCAGTGATGCAGGCAAATAGCTGGCTGTACCAGTATTATTCACTACATTCCAAAATGCATTATGGTTTGGCTTATGAGGCTCATCCCTCGCGCTTGCCTACCTACTATTCAGCCATGATGCCATATCATCCTTCTCCTACAGAAGCTGCTGTTCCTCCCTCACCTTATCACCTTCATCCCCCACCATTAAATGGTTCCTCGACAACTCAACCTCAACCTACAGCACCACCCACAGTATTACAGTATGGCGGAGTGCCCTACACAAGCCTACCAGCAGAATCAGAGCAAGCAAGGTGGCCCGCTTCAGTGAAACGACCAGCATCACCAACGTCCAGTAGTCCTAGCAAATCTCCACCTCGAGTGACCTCTTCATCTACCATGCCTACTTCAAGTATACCAAATAGAACGTCCGGAAGTTATCAAGCAGCGACGGCTGAAGTTGTAGTTCCTCCCTCTGCGTATTATGGAAGTACGCAAGTTTTTGCAGCAGTGTCTTACTCGCATCTTGTCTCCTTACGTGAAAAACAAGTAGATGAGGAAAACGTTGAGCAGTCTCTTACGCCTACTGATACGGAGGAAGTGTCTGCCATGATCTCACTCTCAAACAGACCCTCTTCATATATACCAATTGCCTCAGTATTAACAGAGAGCAATCGAGTCTTATCCGATACTTGTAGCACAGAAGATTATATTAAAAGACAGGATGACCCCAACTGTAGAAACCATCTTTTTTGTTCTTCCCCGAGGTCAACAACAAACCGATTTGACTTTCCTTACGTCCGATATGGAAACGCCTACCCTCTAGTAGACCTAGATCCTCGTAAAAGGTTCTCTAAATGGGAAAAAGATATAAGGCAAGGCAGCTTCTGGGGAAGTCCGGAACATCATCCTCATCATCTAGGTCCTATACAAGGTGATTGTTTTCCTTATAGTGATGGTAGTTGGACTAAAACATCGTTCCTTGAAACAAATCCTATGTACCAGGATTTGAATCAAGAACAAAACTTTAGAGCTCGATTGCTGGGATATGATATTCCTAGAAGGGATGAGATTCTAAGGATTTCGTCTGAAAATCAGCACAGTATTAGCATGGACCATCAACAAGATGTGTATGGCAGCGGCAATCATGCCAGGCCTTGTCTAGTCAGACCACCAAGTAACAGTCCCTCTCCTCACAGTAGGACTAGTTCAGATTGTTGATAGTAAGTACTTAAACTATTTAACTCTCTATAAAAACGAAAATAACATAACATAAACACTTCAGTAACTCTTAACAATTTTAAATATTTAGCGAAAGTGTTTTATTAAAAAATATTAATGGTTTTTTTTTCTGCAAATTCTAAACCAGAAATATCGCATTTTCTATTATTTTTATAGTATTGGACAATGCAATTTTTAATGTATGAAGAGATAATTAATTACACCAATAGGATTTTAATAGTAATTTAGTTATAAAAACTCTTAGCAAAAAACATATACAGTAACCGTGCAGATTGCTAACATTGTACGAATTTATGTTTATTTTTCGGTAATAGATATGAAATGTAACAATATCTGTATTTGTATTATGCTCTTATGATTTAAATTGAGTTTTTTTTAAAAGAATTTGTATACTTTGTGCAGAAATATTTTAAATGTCGAGTATAATTTTTTAATAAATTCTGCGTCGGAAAATACTTTACGACTTAATATTTAAAAGTTGTTCTCCTAAACACTTTTAGCTGGACATATTAAGTTTTAAATACTCTATAATTTATTTACCCACAATATTCTTAAGAACGTATTAAGAGGGGCATATGATTAAAGGTTTCACGCATTGTGACTCAGTTACGAGGCAACAAATTTTATTGGAAAATAGAACATAATCAATCAAACACATTTCGCAATAAAACATGTCCAATAGGTAATTTTTATGAGAGAATTCTTTTACTTACTAAGCAACTAATAAATATTTTAGAATACTTTTTGTCGCATTTTATTCAGTGAAATGTGTTCTATTAAACATAGTTACCAAATTTTAAGGGTAAAAATATTTTAAAATTTTTTAAAAATTATTATAATAAATGTAATAATAAAAAAAACTTTCTAAATTACATGCTATCTTTAAATTTAAATTAGGTTAAATCAAACATATTTCAACGAATAAAATTAAACAAAAAATATTCCAAATTACTATTTAGTTACATATTAAATGATTAGGAAAATTGCGTTTATGTAATTTGTCTCTAGAAGAATTAGAATTTCTTTTCTGCTTGAAGGGGGGGAATCAATTCTTAAAAAGACTCTTTTTTACTTTCTATTACTTTGTTATTTTTTAAACTCGATACCACATTATGAAAATAATCAGTATAATAATACCATGATATGAACATTTAGAAATGTTAATTTTTATTGTAACTACTACTATTCTTTCATTTCTCTTAAATTCTTGTTTCACAAGCATAAAATTTCTACTCTTAGCAACATCGACTCTTAAAATTACTTAAAATGAATTTTTTAATAAACCTGAGCTGCTCTCAATTTATATATAATTTTGACGTTTGCCTAATTCACTGAATAAAATAGATGAGTGTACTATAACAGTCGTTTTTTTATACTGTGAAAAATAATTGTTTTATTATTTTCTATCATCTTTAGAAAGTTTGTGGTATTGGTTTTAAATCATCCTATATATTAAAAGACTTTTATTATTTTATCTCTCCTAATACGGAAAGCTCTCTATAAATAATAAAGTATCTTATTTAATAGTAATCCTGAATTTCGCTTATTAGCAAATTGGAAAAATTTATTACCATTCAAAAATAATTTAGGTCTCTATATTGGCTTATTATTTTTTTTATTTCACTGAAACAATGGTATTTTTATTGGGATGCTTCAAAAAATGTCTTAATGTATCTTGTATTCTTCACATTAATCTTGATTGAGTAATAATTTTGTATTTTTTTTAACCTTTTTTTCAGGTTGATGTCCAGCTTATTTATGGTTATTCCAAGAGGAAAATGAAGGTATGGCACATTGCCAGAATTGTAGATAAACCCAGTTCCTGGATATCAACCCAGTTACTACCTCATCTCCCCATGCCAAACGAAATTACAGTTTTTACAGTGATTGTTTCTTTGAAGAATAATGAATATCGATGTTGAGAAAGCTTAGAATAGCCTTTGGAATGGGTTTAAGTGCACCAAATAATTATTTCATAAAAAAAACACATAAATAGCTTGAAAAATTGTTTAATAAAACATTTTGTTTAAAGTTTTTTTTTTAAAGAAAGGTGTATTTTTTAAAATGAAAAAAAAATTGCTCAAAGCATGGTTTCTTTTCTTATATAATTTTGAATGAAAGATGTGAGAACTGTTTTTAATTGTTTGCTAAATTTACGAAATTTGACATTGAAAAGAAAAACATTTAAAATTTTACTTTTATTTACTGTAATTAACTGAATTATTTGCATTGAAAAAATATTTCTTAAAGTTTCACGAAATCTAACTTTAATAATTATTTGTTCACAATTTGTGCCGGTAAAAATATAATTCATAATTGCTTATTCCTAGCTGCGCGGTAATAATTGTATTTTCACATTCAATTGACTGTTCAAAACAACAACATTACTCCAACTGAACTTCTTTTTTTTTTTCCTTAAAAAAAAAAAATTAGTAAGAAAAGAAATACTTGAGAAATATGATTATCAGATTTCAAATAAAAGACCAGCTTAACAACTTGAATTCATCATTGATATGAAGTTATAAATTTAATGATTTTGAATGCGGATAAATATGAAGCAAAACATTATTTTTAATCCTAAGATAAATTAAAGCAACAACGTGTATCACGAACCCATTCCAATGAACACCGGGGGACGATGCATGATTTTGTACTGGTTACATACACCGGTTGGTGCTGGGGAACTATTGTAAAGAAATCTTAGTTTGTAACTAAGATTTTATGTTGTATGAAAGAATAGATTATTATTTGTAAATTTATGCGTTCTCATCCAAAGTGTGTTTTGTTTTGTAGAGTTTAAAGGATGTCAATAAAATGTGTACAAAGAATAAATTAAAATTTTCAATTTATGAATTTGTTTTTTTTATTTTTTATTTTGCATCTCACCCCACACATATTTAAAATTTCAACTAAATGGCGAAAAAATATAAATTTATAAAAAATAAATTGCATTAAAACTAAGAAAATAATTTTCGTAAGAAGTATTCTCGTAGTTGTTATCTAATAAACATCATCTAACGTTTATTAAGGAGTTTTATTTAATAACGTACAAAACATATTAGTATGCTGAGTTTTCATACTATCATTCGAAACAGAATTCTTGAGCTATTTTACCCCAACTGTTGTTTTGAGTCTTTTTAATGATAAATTGTGATAAACTAAGAAGAAAATTAGAAAATAATAACAATTAAAAAGTAAACAAAAAATACTTAATGAAAAATTAGTGATGAAAGCAAAGTATTTGCCAACCATAAAGATAATTATGCACCAGTTATTATGGATTACAAGTGTTTACGCATGATATAAAATCTTGTTTCTAAAAAATTACTTCCGAAATTGGCTGCTGTGTATAAGGTTTATAAGGTTACAATGAGTGAAAATAATGCGTGCAAAATTTATATCTATGCCCTTTTTTGGAATTTCTTCACATTTTTTTAATGAATGCTCTTAGAATATAAATTGTGTAAATGCTTTGCTAAATGCATAAGCTCAATTTGAAATATGATGCGAGTGCCATAACAAATTTTAGAAAACTTTCTATGGAACATGATTATCATACGAATTCCATTAACAAATATGAGCACCTGTATCAAAAATTCACATAAAAATTGAAATATAAATTTGTCATTAAGACTTACAATGTTACTTTAGCCGACATATCAAATTTTCTTTTACAGTAATAAAGGTTGTTGTCTTTTAGTTAAAAAAATAAATAAATCGCGTTGTAGTTTTATATGTATCCGGAGTGTGATTTATTAAGTTGTGAAACAATACGGATAAGTCTAGAAAAAAGGGGTATAAAAACCACACACCAACCTCATTCGCACAGTTTGAATACCTTACATTTTACAGTGACGCTTAACCGTATAATACCTCTGCAAGCAGCGTATAATATAGCTCAAGTTACGAGCGGAAAGTCTAAAAGAGTCTGCAGTCATAAAAAACACCTGTGAAGAAATAGATGAGAGGTAAAAAGAAAATACAGCAAATAAAAAGTGGTAGCAAGTAAAAATAAGAACAGTTGTGGAGAGGAAATTTACTATCAGAGTTTATGCTTTAATCGACGATTATAACGACGGGATTACTTTCCTGTGCGATAGTCTGAAGAGAAAGTTATGACTGTCAAGCTCAAAGCTCACCTACAAAATATGTCAGATGTTGTGTCGTTAAAAAAAATAAGCTATCTCAGACACTTTCTATGGGATTACTTTGTGGGTGGTAAGGATGGAACAGGTTATAGAACTGGTGTTGAGTAATCGAAGTCAAACAATTTATAGGCGTGTTATCAGCTGGTTTAAAACATAGTGCTGAATGCAAGCATTATTTAAGCAGAGCTTACGGCTAAAAAACATGTCTATATCTATTAAATAATATTATTAATCATTTTTTGGACAAATTTAATTTTCCTTACACTACTGTACAAGACAACAACAACAACATTTATAATTTTAAACTGGAATTCGTCATAAACGCAACATATTCCAATAAAATTTCTTTCAAGTACAATAATAAAAATTCTTTTTTTTTTATCAGTAGCAGGTTTTCTTATCAAGACTTTTATTTTTCTAATATTTTTGTTCAATTTTAATTGTACAAATTCTTGTTGAAGGTGGAATGCATTATGTTTTATGACAATCTAGAACTTGGTATTTTCTCAGAGGCAAAAACTAACAAAAAATTATGAATATTCTTTGCAAATAGATTAAATAAAAAACATACAACTTAAAAATTATTTTTTAGAAACATTTATGATTTTTTTTTTGCTTCGAGGAATATTTTTAAAAAATTGCAGGATATTTAGCTTTAAAGCCACGTTTAAAGCCACATCGATAAAATACTTTTTTTTGCGATGACGCTCTCATAACAATAAAAAATTTTAAAAATAAAAAAAATCCCAGTTAATCCAAATATTTTTCACACAGGAGAACATACTGTAATTTAATCATTACTAAAAAAAAATCATTAGCATGAAATGCAATTTGCAGAGAAATAAATTAGAGAAAAAAAACTTATTCTCTTGGTGCATCTAAATTTCTTATCAAAAATTAGTAGATTTTGTTTTTAATTATAGGACTTATTTAAGTATTTTTAAGAATCAACAGTAGATCCTTAGCATTATGTGTGATAGAGAAACACTCACGATTTCCCTATTGATAGATAAAAACGAAAAAATTTAAATGTCAATACTTTTTTTTTCTCATGCTCTGCACTAATGATGGTTTCGAATCAGCTTTACATCTTTAAATATATTTTCAAATGTGTACTTTTCTTCTTCTTTTGTTTGCATCTGTGCAGTTATTATCAATTTTTATCTGATTTCCTTAAATCGATGCTAAATTATTGTCCCTTGAATTCGGTTCGGTTATAGTATTTTTCTCTCTCGTAGCATCTAAGCTTATCACATATTTCCAAATAGCATCCTCATCTCGGAGTACACCCAAACCTCATCTTCTCCCGTGGATGGTGAGAATGTACGGGTTAATTGTTTCCGGGTGCCAAGGCCGCATCACCAAGTCTCATTCCCATGGAGATGCTAATTCAAGGTCACTCAACAGCACCTGCCCCTCAACCGGATCCGAGCATGCGTTTCACTATCATCGAATCCTCCGTGAAACAGGTGCATGTGGATCGCGAGCGCCAATCAAAATATAATCATTTTACAAAGCAACTTATAAAATCAAACTTCCCTATTCATTCTCATTCATTTTCTGTTTTGTCCACACAAATTGTTGCTAAAGTTTAATGCATGAATACATTTCGACCATTGTAAAGCAAAACTTACTTTAAAGCTGAAACTTAGATCCAAGCAAATCACTAAAACAAAAGAATACTTATCTAAAAGCTGTTTTTGCAAGGCATCAAATTAAACGTTGATGCATGTTACTGAGTGTTTTTTTTCTTCCCATTCTACTAAATTATTATTAATTATTTTACCGTCTTTGAACAGTCAAGCGATATAGAATTTGTGGTTTTGTCCTGGTACAAATTTGTACCAGGAAATTTTGAGAGCAACACAGAAGATAAAAGTACTCCTGGATCATCGTTATCAAATGCTTTTGCGGCTTCAATCATGCACCATTTAGGATCAAATTTTTTTAATAATATATTAAATATGCTACACATAATTTAAAACATGCAAAATGATGTAAAGCCAGTTATATATTTTTTTTACTGTGCTTTCAAAAGGGTTTTTAAAAAGTACAAGCCTTTCTTTTAGTTTTGTAACTATAGTATTATACCTTAAAGGATATTTAATATAGGGAATTCTCTTTGAATTAATTTGTTCTGATTTGAACGTTGATAATTCGAAATATTGAAAGATTCAAATAGACGTTAATTCTTTTAAAATTTCCGATTCTCACCAATAAAATTTGATCTTTATTCGAAATTTTCTTCACAATTTCGGTTAATTCGAAGACTGTTAAAAACAAATTAATAGAAAAACTTAATGTTTTCTTTGAAATCTGATTCAGCTTATTAAATATTGGAAGATTAAATGCGGTATCCTCTTTGAGAGCATTTTGCGATTTATTCNATACCTCTTTCAGTCCCTTTACCGATTAAAGGAACCGCAAAACAAGTTTTATCTCAATTGAAATGAAACTGAATCAAATAAACTTACGTTTCTCTGTCACATAAACATTGAGAAGAAAAGAATCACTAGATAAATTCAGTTTTAATCAATAAAAGTAAATCTATCAAAGCATAAAAATGTGTCATTGGGGAAAATTCAAACGTGGACGGGTTATTTTTAACGCTAATGCGTTTTCGCTTTTTATTGGCAGTATTTAATTTGTTATTATACAGTTACAAAAAGTGTTCCTCATACGTTAAGATATTTCATTACAAGATCTTTACTTGGACAAACTGCCTTTAAAATAATTTTCAAAAAAAATGCATGTTAGTTATGCATGTAAAATGCATGTTAATTATGCATGTAAAATGCATTAAAAATGCATATAAAAATGCTGCTACTTTAATACAAGGGTTGTTTGGATTTGGCTTATATCTTTTACGAGTCTATAATTTTAATATATCATGTATTAAAATATATAA